AACTCATTCTTCCTGTGTTTTTGAAGCTTCCCAATCCATTTCTGTATAATATATATATATATAATTTCCTTTTAAACTAAAATAAATGTTTAAGGTTTTTATGCACCATATATAACACTGAAGAATATTGTTTTTCTGCGTGAAACCGATTGCTCTTTCTGATTGTATCGTTATGTCTTCGCAAGATGTGGCTATATCAAAACCTTTCAATATGTCTTATACCAAAGATCTTTTTTGCAATCTACAATACAATGTCGAAAGGAGCGACCAAACAGCCTTTACATTCTTGTAATTATCTCATGTAAGTGACTTTGATCGTTTGCTTGCTGAGTCAGGGAAAAAGCTAATTATCAGCAAAGTGACTTTGCCACTGACACAGAAACAGTCTGGGGATACTGACCAGCTGAAACCCTACAGATCTCTTTTCCTCCATTAATCATAGGAAAAAGATTTAGCGGTGCTGAACTTTAATCGCTTAAGGCCCCATTTACACGGGAACGTAATCGAACCGCAAACAAACCGCAAACAAACCGCAAACAAACCGCAAACGAACCGAATTCGATAAAAAAAGTCTTCCGTTCACACGGATACGGCTCAATAAACGTGTCCCTTCACACGAGACCGCTCGACCCGCTGGAGACGCTGTAGTACATATGCCGGGCCTGTAAGTGGCGCTGCATTTACGCCACAAAATACACCAAAAGCAGCGAAGAAGATCCCTGAGCATGGTTGCCATGGTTGCCTGGTTGCCCTTCTGTTTATTATCCGCTGTGAATTTAGCAACATGTAGTTTATGTGGTTCTCCATGTCCACTTGTTGCAGATGGTTGTGGTAGAGGAGCTGTAGATTTTGCACTGACATCTGTAGCATGGTCAGTAGCAGTAGCTACTGACGGTTTTGTTCCCGTGTAAACAGCACCTAAGGCTCCCTGCAAAATCACAACGGGGAGAACCTCACTCATCACACCATCAACCAGAAAGTACCTCAGAGGCGGAAATCATATTCACCTTGTAGTCACCTCTCACCGGGCTCATAATTGCAGGACATAGGAGTGCTCAGGACTCCATTACCATACACCCATGGACGATGATTAATGACGCAGTGGGAACAAACAGCGAGTGAGCGCTCTCAAACAGCGCTGGTAAGCTCCTGTGCCACCAAACACGGAAGCATATGCTTCAGATAGTTCAAAGACCTTGTCTTGCTCTTCAAAATTTTGATAAAAAAGTGTGTACGTCCTGCATTTGCTTACATGTGCACATTGGTGTGTCCCTGCATGCACATGTAATCGGGTGTTCAGCGATACTTCTGTGTGGAGTCATTACTTTCATGTCACAGTGATTAGATTAATTGGCCTGAGTGTAACCATCAATAACACAAATGCGTCTGTTTCCTAAATCTGATCTACCTTTTTTAATGACTACATCCCATGACTAAATTAGCGCTGGTAATCAATAGGTCAACTGTAATGACTGTAACATTGGTGCTGGTGACAGCTACTTTAAATGGCTGCGAGGTACAATATATTTTATGTGTGGCTGTGTCTGTATAGAGCTTGTATCCACCAGCATATTTTAGCAAACAACGTGTCTGTGGAAGGCACCAGGATCAAGGATTGTGCTGTTGCAATTCAAATTGTGAAATCCTGTTTGAAGAGCAAAATTGTAACTCCTAGTGGTCTGCTGATAAAGAATGAAAAAAGACTCCCGTCAACAACATGCAACGCAGTTTCTTTTCCTCTGTAAACAGCAGGGATCTGTGTGCTGTAAAGGCAGGTCCCAATGGACGAGCAGCATGTTGTATCTTCAACAGTAACTTACGGATGGGGCTGGTTTCCCTCCTTTCGCAGTGCAGATGAGGGTGAAATTCTGGGCCTGGTATCGACTGAATAGGGCTGGAGTGTTCTCTGCCACCACTGATATGTTGTTTGGAGGCGCTGTGGACGACAGAAAGAAGGTTTTGTGAAGCAATATTCCAAAACATTTCATGAACACAAAATGCAACATCAGATGTTTTTTAACTACAGTAATAGGCGTCATTTATTCTGGGAATGTTGCGAACATATCCCCACCACCTTTTGAAATGGGCGATTTTATCCCCACCACGTTTTAGAATAAAAAGTATAATTTGCAAAACAATTCTGAATAACATACGAAAACCTTTCAAAACCTTTTTTTTACACAACAAAAACACATATATGGTAATATATAAATATAGAATAAATACATGTGCATTGTCAACAAAAAAAAACATAACCCATAGATTACTTATTATAAATTGACCAAAAATAACATATCAACTGTAAATGTAAACATTTCTTGACACAGTTTCTTCTTTTCCCAGTCTTGGTCATTATCTACTTTGACCTCAAACTGATATCCCATTGCATTGCCTAAATGTGTATCTGGTGAAGACCATTAGAACATCTTCTGACCCCTATGTCCCCACCACTTTTCAACACATAGTGACGCCCTTGCTTGAGCTGTTAGAAAACATCTATTTGTTGCTTGCTCAGTGTAATCCAATAATCATTTTTGTGTTGAAATGCCTTCCTAGAGTTATATAGGTGGAGGTAGTAGCAGCAATGCTGATAGCAGAGTAAGAGCATGGAAGTGAGAGCAGGGATAGAGCAATGCTGTTCTGCCCTGATATTTAAAAAAGAAACGACTAAAACAAATCTGCAGACCTGCTTTATCTATCTTACGCATAAACCTGCTGAGCGAATCTCCACTTAAAATGGTAACTGAATGGTAGGGACAATATGTTAAATTCTCCCAGGGGCTTATGTGAGTCAGATGAGGCTGATAAGGTTGAAAATCTCATACATATCATATCACTAACCCCCCATCTAAATCTCTCTAGGGATCCCAGCAAGTATGTCATGGCAGGGTAAAGGGAAAACATGTGAGCAAGACTTCACAGCATTATAAAGGTGCAGCGGGAGGGAAAGGAGATAATGAATGGAAATCTCCCACATCCCACGGAAAATCAGCTGTTCAACATTCAGTCCTACTCTTGTCATTGTATGGTGGTTTAAACATGAAGACTCATTGATATGTGGCTGTTTTAGGGAAATATCGACAAGCACATTTGAACTGACGACACTGCAGCAGATGACCAGCTGCACAAGGACCACTTGAATTTTGATGAGGACTGCTGAGTATCAAAGGCACTTTTCACTACATTAGCTGAAGAGGCTTTAAGTAGCAGACTTTTCATGTATTCTGCATACATGTCCTCTCTCCATGAAGCTATTTATGCACCGCCGTGCATATGCATTGAACAGTCGTCTGGCACACATTTTCGGCCAATACTTGGCTATTCTGCAAATGCAGATGCACAGGCACGTTCCTTTAGGCAAGGCAAGGCAAGTTTATTTATATAGCACATTTCAACACAAGGCAATTCAAAGTGCTTTACAAAAATGAAAGACATTCAGACAAAGGCATACAAGGCATATTTAAATGACNGCACAGGCACGTTCCTTTAGGCAAGGCAAGGCAAGTTTATTTATATAGCACATTTCAACACAAGGCAATTCAAAGTGCTTTACAAAAATGAAAGACATTAAGAGCATTAAGAAACATATTATGAAATGACATTTAAAACACTAATTTAAAAGCAATGGTATAAAATGACATTTAAAAACACTCATTTTAGATAGTGAAAGCCTGCTACATAGAAGGAATATTCTGCTGAAGGAGTTTATATTCCAGCATTGGCAACAACGGCCTACTGTGCATAGCAAACTAAGAAAAGGAAGACAGACTTATCAAAAACAGAATCTGACAATAGTGTTAAAGCATTAAAATTGTGCTAACAGTTAGTTTGCTGCTAAATGTGACGGACGGATGTTGCTATTCCATTGTTAGCAACATCTGCCTACACTGCAAAATATCCTAAAAAAATAAGACAGACCTATCAAAAAGGGAGTCCGACAATAGCGTTAAAGCGTTATCATAGTCTCATAGTCATAGCATTTCGTGTTATAGTCACGACATTTAATCTATTGATTTGTGTTCACCAACACGATTTTTCCCTTTTTTACGTGTCACACAGAACAATTTTAAAAGCAATGAGCCTCAGAATACTGAAATCTGTATTTTTTTTAAATCTTTTTTTCCTTCTAATTTGTTATTCTTTTCTAAATAACACACTGTTATTTACTCAACAATAGCACACAATTATCCTTGTTTTTATTTATTTGTTTGATTTATAATATCGGGCTTTTTTGCCGTCCGTCAGGAACTGAATTTCAAAATAAAGTCACAGGTGTTTGTCAAGCAAAGGGACTGTAGTCCCAAACGACAGCTGAGGATTATGGGTAGTGTAGTGTCTTCTGCCATCCTAAACTTTGGGACTACAGTCCCTTTGCTTGACAAACACCTGTGACTTTATTTTGAANACTGTTTGAGGTTGTGGACAGGTGTCTTTTATACTGATAACGAGTTCAAACAGGTGCCATTAATACAGTTAACAAGTGGAGGACAGAGGAGGCTCTTAAAGAAGAAGTTACAGGTCTGTGAGAGCCAGAAATCTTGTTTGTTTGTAGGTGACCAAATACGTATTTTCCACCATAATTCGCAAATAAATTCTTTAAAAATCAGAATGTGATTTTCTGGATTTTTTTTTCTCATTTTGTCTCTCGTAGTTGAGGTATACCTAGGATGAAAGTTACAGGCCTTGCACAGGAAACTTGCACAATTGGTGGCTGACTAAATACTTTTTTGCCCCACTGTATATACATTTATTTTATTCGTAAAATAATTTGTAACTCAATTGAATGAGATTTAATTTGTTTGGCAGGGGGGATGGAGAAACTCTTTTTAAGTTTCGATTAAGATTCATGAGTAATGATGCGATTAAACATCACAATATTAACAGGAAGGCTCTTTTTCTTGAATCAATGTTTTGTCTGACCTAGCATAAGAGCAAATGTTTTGGAGATGTTTTATCCTGTCATCTGTCCTGTCAGTTTGACAATAGATGTAGTTTGTAACCTGTGCAGAGGCGGGATGCTGTCGATGGTTTTAAGGCTGCTGCGCGTCGACACCACGTTGAAGCTGTCGCTGCAGTCACATGACACGTGGAGGTGATGTCTCGGGTGTCTGTTCTCCACCATGACGATAAGCCCCGCCCACCCGTGGGTCAGGTAGTAACAGGTCATCCCCTCTCGACCCTGGAGGAGAAAGTATTTGGTAAAAGTACATGAAGCTCACCTTATAACAAACACTCACAGAAAAACTCCTGTGCATTCGAACCCTTACTATTGACAATGAAGTACAATGTACTTAAAGTTCTTGAAGTAAAAGTATTCATTGTGCAGTTTACTGTTCCTTCATTGTTTAAATACATCATGTTCCTGGAGTAACATTACTGCTGCTGGAGATTTGTTAACTCCTTTACATTCTGCAGGCCAGTTTCATCTGCAGCAATGCATCATATTCTATCAAATCACAATATGTTTGTATCTTTTCCTGTGAGGACCATGTATCTCTAAAAAGTCAACTTTTCCGTTTCAGGAGAATCTTCTTAACAAAATCGGTTTTCAATGGAAAGCAATGTAAGAAATACCTTGAAATTGTTTTTAATAATAATAATCATTGTTAGGATCAAAAATATTTGATTTGTCAACATTCTCTTGTACTAAAAGTAGTGTTTTACTTTGTTGTACAATTGTACTATCAGTTAATCAATAAGCATTACAAAATTACCTCCAGATGGCAAAGTAAACTGTTGTTGTAAATCGGTTAATCACCTTATCCTTTCTGTAAAGTAACAATAGTGCAATGCATTTTCCACCATTGGAAAGCAGTTTATTGTGTGTGTTAGGTATGTACAATAAATCTGAGTTGACAAACTGACCTCGTGTCTCTCTCCTTTAGTTTCGGTGAGCTGGATGATGGCGTCGGCGATGGTGTTGCTGGAGGCCGTCACCTGCTCCACCATCACCAGCCTGGAGCTGTAGACCGCCAGCATGTATCCCGGCTCCTCAGAGGCTGGGAACACACAGCATTAATACATTTAAATAAGGTGCTGCAAAACCATAATTCTAATTGACATTTAAACTGGCTTTGGTGGTCTAGACTGTCTTTTTAACGCAAGTTCCTCTTCCACATTATTTATATATTAGGGACATTCAGGTAGCCTGCTAGTCTGTTTTAACTGAGAAATATAACGGTTGAAAATCTGCCATTTTCTTGAAAAGAAAACCTCCTGATGTTGCACCTTTACTGTTCCCCTCTGGGGGGCTGCTGTGCCAGTGGTTGAAGGCGCAGCAGAGCACGGCGTACTCTCCCGGCTCCAGCATCACGTCGCAGCCCACAAACCTCCTCACAGAGCGGCGGCTGTGAGCCAGCAGGCGGCCGAGCGTGGGCGACCCCGTGCTGTCGTAGGAAACTCGGTACAACAACACACACAGATCCAGCAGGTGGCTCTCCGCTGTGTCCCACCGCCTGAGGACACAGGAGCAGAGACGGGTTCAGATCAAACAAGGAGCAGTCTGCAGTCATTAAAACATTTTTGCCTCAAAGAGCAATCATGACAAATAAACCCAAACCAAGGAGCTGGAAGAGAAGGTAATAAAAGTCATACAACTAAAGAAAAAGTGATTTTTTTTCTGTAAAAGGTAGGACTTTATAAAGTTCTACATTTATGAGAAAAAAGACCTCTTAGCTTACACATACATTGTTTTTCCCAGTAAATGTAACACCTTCATCTCCATATATATCCAGGTCTTTCTTTCTTTCTATCTTTTCTTTCTAATACATTTAAAATAAATATCATCCCCCTTCCCCTGCCGTCATTGCTTTATGGTCGACATATGGAACTGACTCATTAAAAGGATTAAATGTTAAAGGTGACCTATCATGCAAAATGCACTTTTGTACGTCTTTTATACATGAATATGTGTCCCCGGTGTGTCAGGGAACTCACCAAGTGTCAGAAAACACAACCCTCTCTCTTTTCCTCCATACCCAAATCTCTGAAAACAGGGCTGCAACGGATCTGATACAGACTGATCCAGATTTGAAATATCTCTGACTTTTTCTGACGTCAGAAAAGGGGTGCTCTGCCTATATGGGCAACTCTCCACCTATCAGGGGAATGAGAGACCACTCGAAAGCTTTAACTGCAACTGTTCACTGTAAACAGTAATTGTAGGTTTAAAAGAATGAAGTCATTTTGTTTGTGTTATTATTGACTCTATCATCTATTGCCTGACTCTAGGTGATGTAAGGTGACCTTGGTAGTATTCACCATCTCCCTTGGCTCCATAGATATTTTATCATAGATTTAGTTTGACCTGAAATGCTCTTGATACCCTGAAATAAAAATGTGATGAGTTTGTTAAATGTGCATTAAAGAATGATTTTTTTTATCAACTTGCTAAATGCTGTTTTTATTCTCCACCAACATTAGAAATTTGTAGAGCCCAATCTGGCGTACTATAGTTCTTATTGTCTGAACGTACTATCTCTAACTGACTGAGGGGTATTAGAAGGGTCTCAGGTGAGTAGAGCTGTAGTCCTACCTGCTGCCCTGCTGGAACAGAGCCAGCTCCATGGCGGTCCTCTCCAGCACCGTGATGGACACCAGCTTCAGCGGGACGTCGGCTCCTCGGGGGAAAACACCCGGCGTTCTCACCTCCTGCCAGTCTGAATGAATCTTACAGATATCCACTGAGTCAAAGAACCTGCCGGGGTCAGACAAATACATAGACACACATAGACACGTGTAACGCAAAAACACATTTCCCTTATTTTGGGGGTTTTCAAAATAAGGGAAATTCTTTATTTGTTTGACATGAGAAAAAAGTGGTTATTCAGAAATTAAAGTGCCAAGAAACTTGCAAAATTCTTGGGCTTTTTTACATTTGCATCATTTTATACTTTTTTTAATATATTTTGCTAAAGTAATCAAATTATTAATTCTAAATTCAGTTTTTGAAAGCTACATTTTATATTATCATATGTCAAGACCGAAAAGGTAATTGGTTCCTATCTTTATAATAGAATTGTAATAGATTTGGCGTTACTGCGACACGGTACGCCCACTTCCTAAAATGTCTCCGCGAGTGAGAGCAGGCCAGAGTTTCACGAGCAGAAGAGCAGGACTTGCTCGTGAGAGCGCAGGAGACCAAGGAGAACTCATGTAGATGCTGCACATGCTCAAGGCATGTTTCTCCCCTGCAGGCTTCAATATAGAGTGGTGAAGTCCCGACCATCTACTTCCGCCCCATGGGACCTTATTTCTGAAAAATTATGTATTGAAGTCAATGGAGAGAGAAAGATTATCTTTCGATCCCGTTTGAATTGTGCCATGAATTACACATATGATGTTTGTCAATCGTAAAAAATAATTTCCATGTCAAAAAAGNTTCTTTAAGAGCCTCCTCTGTCCTCCACTTGTTAACTGTATTAATGGCACCTGTTTGAACTCGTTATCAGTATAAAAGACACCTGTCCACAACCTCAAACAGTCACACTCCAAACTCCACTATGGCCAAGACCAAAGAGCTGTCAAAGGACACCAGAAACAAAATTGTAGACCTGCACC